GATCTTCTGGACAACTTTCATTACGAACGGCCTGTTTTTTTTAAATTTTCGATTGTTTTTTGTCATTCCAAACACCCTGTCTTTTCTTATGTCAGGTGATCGTAACGAACATATGTCACTGGAGATCGTAATGAAAAGTTAGTGCGAAATGTTCCTTTCTCTGTCGCATGTTGTGAAACCTTTCAGATGAGCGGAATCTGGTAGAATATGCGTGTAGTTGAGATGTGCAGAGTGTTGTCGTAACCAATATTCATATGCATAGCCACAGAGTTATTTCACTCTATATGCTAACAGTATTATTTGTTCCTTGGGCAAAGATAGAACTTATAACATACTTTCGTGAACACATTAAAAGAGCGACAGTATGATCATCAATACGAGCTGATGCAACATCATGCCAATCGAGTATTAGCTGAGCGCTGTTTTGTGAAAATGGAAAGAACTAACTATCGACATTCACCGAAGTCTACCCTTCTCCATTTTCTTGCACTTGATTTCTGCAGAATTGAAAACAGCTACAAATGTGCAGCCAATGCAAATGCACAACCTGACTTCGAAAAACAGCCAAAAGAAAATAGTTTTGTTAATGTATACACTTTGTTGCCCTTTCAGATAAGACTCTCCCATCGCTTCTCCATTTTCTAGATTTCATCGTTGAGAGAAAATTCTATAACATACTCACGCTGCTAAATCGCTCGACAGGTAAATAAAGCTCTTTAAAGGTTCTTCAAATAATGGTGACATTGATGTATCATTGTCAATATTTTCTTTCGGTACTGTTTGTATACAGCTGCTTTGTGAAAGCATTTCGAAATATTATTCAACGAACCATATTTTGATTTTTAATGCTTCATTTCTGTTGTTTAGATGGAGGCAACACTCATCGCTACAAGAGACTGACGTCACAGATATTGTAACTTATAAGCATGTTTGCAGCGCCTCCGAAGGGTTATAAATAAACAACCGAAGTTAGTTGTATTTCGATTCTTGAAATCTTACTGACGAAGATATTATAGCCAGCTTCATCATCTATAAAAGCTGTCAGTGTTTCTAAAAAGTGACTTTTTCTTTAATTTGAAACGATGCAACAAATTCTGAATACGGTAGCAATAATACTGTAAGTAACTCTAGTTCAATAGACTACTAATATGATAAAAATTTGTTTCTAGACTTATTGCCTGTGTCGTCAGAGGTAAGAGAAACAGATTCCAGAGGTAGTCAAAAGATAAACAAGGAGCATTACACATTGGCATCTTCGGCAAAAAGTTGATCTCTTTTTTATTATGGGGAACGAAAGCACGTCTGTAGATATCTATAAATTTCGATTTTCAGCCCATTTTGTTGTGGCTAGCAGAAATTCTAGAAAAGAACTGAGCAAAACTTTTTCAACAAACAACCTTCATTTCCACTTTTCATGCCATAGTTTTCAAAAAAAATATGATGATGTTTCTTGGACAGATCTCGATACATAAGGTTGAAAAATATTTCAAATGAAAGAACATGATTCACTTTAACCAAGTGCATATTCGAATTTTTCTCAGATCTATATCTGAGATGCAAGAAATTCGAAATTCTTAAGTACAAGAATGATTTATATAATGTTTGCAAGTGATCTTTTTGTCTGCATGCGTTTTTTATTTCGGAGCTTCAAATGACCAAAAAATGTCGCAACATTTGTTAAAAGAATAAGTGAAGGCTATCCAACGAGCGCAAACCAATTGGTTTTTCGTCATGAACACACACTTTTCCCACTTACAAAATGAGAAAGTACTCAGTAAAATTCACTTTTACGTTCATTTTCTAATGAACTTGTCATGTAATTTTTGCTTTTCTTCATCCATTCATGATCAAATACAATGATTGAAGACGAGAGTGTGTGAAGAAAAGACTCTCACCAATGTACTTACTTGATCATTCATTTTGACCCACAAATCTTTACCCTTACCACATGTTGCTTATTGCTTTCCTAAGGATTTCTACTAAGAATAATAGAATGGACTGAAAACTAGAATTGATTGGTGTATAAATACATGCTTTCGTTTCCGATAGTAAAATTACGAGCCCATTATTTGCAGACCATGTTGCTCTGTGAAAATACCTGATTCTTCCTTGGGTTCTTCTTTAATTCAATCATATGAATGTGAACCTAAAATCCACGTATATCTTTCGTATTGCATAATTCATGCCCTTCCTTTTCTAAACGATTGCATAAGATGAAACAACTTACTTTTAATAATGATTCTTCGATAATTTTATCCGACTTTTACTTGTTATAAAAGCAGTTTTAGGCCAAGACACAACAAATTCTGGACTGCCTACTTGTGGATGTTGTCCAACACAAGAGTGTCAAGCAAAACCAGTGTCATGTTCGATAAACACTGACTGTGCATGCTTGCTTATGACAATGACTGCTGGTGGAATGTGTGCCGATACTGTCATATCTTGTCGTGATTTGACTTTATGTGAAAATGATAACAAGACATGCTCGGCACCTAATACAGTATGCGTCAATAACACTCGATGTAACGTTCCTGTTTGCTATCCAATTGAACGTGCATCTATTCAACGATGTCCTCCACTGACCTCAAAAGATCCTTACACAATCACAAGTGAGTTTCTGAAATAGACTTTGCATTAACGAAAATTTAGAAATCACCCTGTTGCTACGCAATGTATCACGTGTTTTTTGCTACAGTAAATTTCATATCATATCTATGGGGGCGGGGGGAGGCAAAGTAAAATATGGTCTGAGAGTTTAATTGAACCAAATAATCTCGATGAAATTTATCGAAAGAAAATTCAAAAAAAGAATTTGTTGATCAGCATCATCGAGCGACTCGATAGTTTTCTGTATGTTTTGGTCAGAAGACGAGTGAATACGTTTTCCTGAAGGCATCTATGTAAGCCATTAACATGAGTGGCTGAGTTTGAGCGAAGAGAGGAGTCACACCCACCCATCTCGTACTCAGAAAGTGATCATCTTGAAAATTAAGCGTACTTCGTTCGATCTTCTTACTAGCAATATTTCAATCGGACAATGACAGCGCTACATATTGCTTTGTGAAATTCAAGTCTACCCAATAGGCAAACGTGAGCAACACTTATTTATTAGACTAATTTTCCCTACTCATTGTTTCCCGTACACAGTATTCTTTTACAGACTCTCCTCGTCGTGATCGTTCCTTATGATAAATTTTCCTACGCTGCAGATTCTCTGATGAGCACACACCGTTTGACTTTCCAGTCGTCGCCCTGGATCGATCCGTATAAATGATAACTCTACCATGTTATTCTGCTTTTTTTATGTAGCTTCAACAGCCTTAGCGTCGACAACAGTTGCAACTTCGACAAGATCAATGACAACAACTTCCGCAACTTCGACAAGATCAATGACAACAACTTCCACAACCTCTCCATGTCGCAGTAAGTGACAAGAACTATGAGTGCAATGACATGTCAGAATACTTTGAAACTACTCGGAAGAGGACCCACTATGGCATTGACTGAGTTAGGAGTTGCTAAAATTTCAGTTTAGGATTTAATTATTCCGAACGAGAGATTATCATTAGAAATCTCTAAATCGAAAACATCCGCTCTTTCTGACTACTTAATGAGTAGAGATGTGAGTGTGGAAACGAAGAAAACATTGTCTGTTCACATGCACATCCCTTCTCAAATATAAACTTTAAAGTATACTCAGGATACATGTCTCCGTTGAACAGAATATATTTTTACTTGGCTAACTCTACATTAGGTCAAAACTCATTTTTACATTCAGCTTCTCAAGTTGACTATGACTCTCCAGCAACGTTTTCTGTTTCGTGAACATAAAATATGTAGCATCCCGATTATGAGTCACGATGAATCGAGACTACGAACTCGAAATATTAAGCGAACGCAAATGAAAGAGCAAGATATCAGTGGCAATCTAAAAAACCGTTTTGTGATTAAACTTTAAGAGTAGTGCCAAATGTATGAACTAGTATTTTTCATAGACTGGTCAGAAAGAACTTATATTTCTGGCTTAGGGATTTCTAGTAATGATCTGTTGTTTGAGATAATGAAAGTCAAAAGTTAAATTTTAGCAGTGACTAACTGTACCGATAAATCCTATTTTTGCCACCTGAATCAAGACGAATTGTTCAGTTTCCACTGAACTTTCGATAGTAAGAACATTGTCGAAATGCTCGCTGGAAAGCGGACAAATCGTCGAAATTATGGAGTTTTACTGATATTCTGGCTTCATTCCAATGCGGCTCATCAGTATAAACCGGAATTGCGACAAATCTTTATGGTAGAGATTCCGACGGGTATTGAATACAGGTGTCCACACTCCCCTAGAAATTCGACACATTATCGAAATTCAAATGATGGAATGCCGAATATCGAAACTTCATACAACGGCTTAGTCAATGTTATAGTCGACCATCTTTTAATGACGTCTTCTGTTTGTGATACGCATTAAGAACACTCTATTCTTCTAAGGAGCGCCTGACGACTAACGTATTTAAAATAAAACAGTACAGCCTGTCCATATCTTTACGTATCGGATACTTTGTACTTGGAAAAGCAACAGTTTCGAACTTTGTTTTACCAAGAAATGACTAATAGGATGTTCTCATCAGAGACTGCGACGTCATTAGAGGATGTGGGTACCAGTGTTACCCTACTTTCCACATTCACAGCTACAAATACAGTCAGAAACTAACACTCCAGTGCCCACCTTGGAAAATTTCATTAGTCATTGTAGACTATTTGATTGACTAAACATTAACAAGAATGATAATTAATTGATTAGCTAGGCAAAAAATAAATTAGTTTTTCAACGTTTCGGAATATCTAAACCCATATGCGTAACATCCTAAGTATTACGATTTCAGGGAGATAGAAATGATGCTTTTTACTTCTTTCAGGGCACAGTTTGTATGGTAGAGAGAAACGAAGTCTTAAGTCGAAGTTGTCTATATGAAAATCAAATTTTCAGATACATTTATCCCTTTATGTTTCCGCATGTATTCATAGATTGCAGTCAGTCAAATCGTACAGCACTTCTACTTAGTGACACAAGCACTGTGGTTGTTCAAACATTGGTTAACAACTTACAATCTGTTGGTTTGACAGTCAACTACATCTCTGGAGGAATTTCAACTTATAGTGGATCACCAAATGCAGCTAACTACGACTCAGTAATTTTAATTACTGGCAATGATTATGCTACAGATATGCCAAGTAGTGGGCAAGAGTCGATTCGAAATGCTCAACAAAACAGTGGCACTGGTATAGTAATGACCGAATGGGCAGCATATCAAGTGTTAAGTGGAAGATGGTCGGTACTGTCTTCACTTTTGTTGGCCACGCGAATAACAGGCGTGACTGCAAGCATGTCGTTTGATTTGGTTAGCATCAATCATCCGATTTGGAACGGTTTAGCAGCATCTTTCAATACGTCGGTTACACTTGGCTACAGTGTATTATCTACACCTATAAATGGTAGCTTAACAATAGCGAGTTGTATGCAATGTGGTGGACCTGCAGTCATTGTTCGTCCTAGTGTTGCATCTAATGGTCGTATAGTGCAGATTGCTCATGGTGGCCATTATAGTTCCGGTGGAGCTAATTTCAATTGGCAGAATGATGCTAATCTTGTAACTATGATGAATAATGCAGTTAAATGGGCAGCGAAAATGATTTGACCTAAAACATATACTTTTTATTGAACGATAAACTTTAAATGCTTCTCGTAGTTAGAAATCGCAAATAGATCAACATGATCAAACCTCCTCTCTCCTTTTCATCGACTCCTTTACTAGAATTTCTTAACAGTCCAAGATCGAACACACAGCTTCTAATTGTTCTTTGTCTAAAAATCAACAGTAGAATATCAACTTCCAAGATCGATAGCGTTCTATTTAAAACTTTATCCTTGTAACCGTTCTCTTCTATATAAATCCCTGTACTTTCTTCACTTCATCCAGTGCTCTCATTTCTTTTTCTTTTTCTTCTTCTTTTTTCATGATCCTTGTATCCTATCCCATTTGTAAGCGCTTCAGAACGTCACAAATAAACCTCGAATATACAAAAAGCAAATCACAAATTCAACAATCGACATGGTATGTTAGCTGTGTATCAAACTCATTCTTAGTGTCCTTGATACCGTACAACACATAAACGATTACGAATCCAGGATGTTTTGTGAAGCCCGATTGTGAATGATTGCTGTCGTCGAATAGGGCGCAAAACTTCCAGATATCTGTTTTTCAGAAAACTTTAGGCAAAAACGGCTCATTATAAACATTGCAATTAATGATATCTATAGCTCTCACAACGAGCTGCAACCTTGAGACACATGTCATTCCCTGCAGCTTCCTTATTCGAGTTTCCAATAAAGTGCTTCTCATACAAACTTGTGCAATTCATACATGGCATCATTATCTCGATCCTCCAACGGTGCACTTTTTAACAAAAACAGAGTATAAGAAGAGTTCTTGTTTCCCCATAAGTCCTGTTCGTGAAAATCTTCTGAGGATACAAAGTCTGAAAAAAGAGCATTTCATACAATCATTTTATGCAGCCCTCTGCTTTCTTCAATTTCAACTTGTCTAAAGAAAAATAATTAAGATCTTAGCAAGGAGAAGACGAATTTATGATCAAAATACAGAGTAAAATAATTTCAAAATTCTCTTTTTCAACTTTACTTCTGTGGAAACAATAATTCTTCTTATATTCAGCTGCTTACGGGCTACAACATAGTGAAAGTGGATGTGATAAGATCAGAATAATTAAGAGCAGGTGTATATGTAACGCAAGTAAGCAGGATCCTCTCATTACCCACTCCACACCTTTACTCATGCCAGCTCACTATTTTTTTTGCAGATCGTTCTTCTAAAGAATCTCTTTTGACCACAATAGACAGATTGACTACGGAAAAACCTCAGACTAAATCGAAAATTCACTTTTGGCCTCCATCATCAATTCGTATTTGTTCTTTCAAGTCGGCAAATACCGAAGTCTTTTCTTTGATGTTTTTATCGAGACATGTATGAGGGTGTAGTTGGATGTAGGTGTCGGCGCTAGTATGGATTTACAATGTGAATGTTTTTGTCGGTGTTACTTTTCATGTTACTCACCGCCACAGCCTCCAAGTTTGCACTAGTTATGAAAACATTCGAGTGAATGTCGAAAATTACTTTGAAATATTCAAAATTTCAGTTATCCCTTCGAACAATAATTTACGTAATGAAGATAAGTTCCGAATACTACATTGAGATTGAGTTTGGTTGAGCAAATTACGGTTCAACTTGCGAGAGTTACATAACATTATGTTGAATTATTATGAAAAAGATATTGAAAATGAATGAATAATCGGTTTTTTTTATTCCAATCTTTATCGCATTTTATTTAACAAATTAATTTTTGTTAGTAGTTTCCATAAAATTAAATAGAACAACGAAAGAAATTATCACAGATTTTCTTCAGTTGATGAGTCTTCATCAGATTTTGTCTAATCGAAGAAACAAAGTAATCAGCAATAAAAATTTTTACAACAATAAATCTTACTTGTTTTTTGTTTTGTATAGAATCATTTTCATCAATTGAACGTTTTTTCTTTGTTACAGCTTTTCCTAGTGGTCCCCATCTTGCATGTGGATTACCCATAAAACGTATCAATTTATTTTTTCTAGCTTCTGATTCCCAATCTGGATGTTCAGTAAAATCTACTTGAATTGTTGATGGTTTTGTTAAAAGATGATAGTAAGGTGAATCAGTATTTAATCGTTCTGTAGATGCACGTTTTGTTGATGATTGTTCAGCAAATGCACGCATTATATCCCAAATAATATGATGTGGTGCATTAGTTTTTATTGAATCTTGACGAGCATGAGATGTTGATACACGATAACCAGCATTTAATAAAGCTGATCTTAAACAAAAACCAATCATCATAGTTTCATTTGAATGAACAAATGATGAATATAATAATTACTTGATAACTTTGTTTTGTGGAATATGTGTATGCATAACACGAGCAAGTTTTCCATTGTCAAAATATAATGGATCAGGTAATTCTTCTTTTACAACATATAACATACTTAACATTCGATCTCGATAGGCATAACTTAATATTTAGAAATTAATTTTAAATAAGTTTTCTATCGCATTTTGGTTACCTATCATCTGGTGCTTGTTCAATTGATGTAATAAGTTCATTAACAAAAGAATGATCAAATAAAGGTCCAAGCCAAATTGGACCACCCATTCGAAGACTAAATTTATATTGAAAATAAAAATACTTGATTCAAACAATTCTAATAAATCTTACTTCGACGCACAATGTGGACAATTAGTACCTACGGGTGGTCCATGTGCATATTTAAATTTCGCATTACCTCGTTCATCAAGTGATGCTTGTCCAAAGGGTTGAAAAAAAAACGAACTACAATAAACACAATTGTATACTGTTGCAATTTCACCTAAAGATTATTATTTGTAATGATTATACTAATTATAAAAATGACAAACCTAATTGACTCTGAGCTTTAGCAGATCCATAACCAATACGTACGAATAGACGTACATAAAAATCAATAGACATACATAATAATGGTTCAATTATTCGATCATAACGAGCAGCTTGCATATGTAATGTATAAAGTATCATACGAAGAGCAAATTCATGACAAAATGGTTGATGTAATGATATTGATCCATATTTAGAATAACAACTTTACAAAACTTAATTTATTATATAAAGTTTAATTTTTTCTTTCCATTTACCTATGAGGATTATTTCCACATAATGATGCCATATCAGTAGCTAAATAAAATTAAAAGAAATAAAAAATTTGAAAAGATTTCATGGCATTACCTGTGACACAAAGAACGCCATTTTTTTTAATACATTGTACTGCTCCATCTTTACAAGTAAAACTTGATAAGTTTATTGAAATTTAAATTAAAAAAGAAAACAAAACTAAAGAATGCTATTTACCCAAAAATTGTGCTGGTGTACCATATGGATCTAAATCCACAACATGAAATTGATCATCTATTTTTCTATGACTATATAATAAATTCATAGCATCATCATGACTCGCTTGAACAAGATTTTTGACATCATTCAATTCAATATTTTGTTTTATTGATTCAACTGCTCCAGCATCAATATCATTTGCATAGATTGTATCAATACCTTAAATTATGTAATAGATAAAAAATTATTAATTTAAAATATTTTTTTCTTTTTCCCAAAATCAACTGATGTTGAAGGACGCATTAGTTGCAAAAAATGATATACTCATTTGATAAAAATACTATAAAATTCTAACATTGACTAATTCTTTCTTCCAAATGTCTACTATACAGTAGAAATACACAAGATGAACATCTCGATTTGAATTTCTTCTTATTCGTAATGGTTTACTTTTTGTTTTATCTTCATACCTGGAATTTCACGTGCATATCGAATAGATCGTAGTCCTGTAGCTGATAAGGCTTCGGCAATTTTCAATCCATTCTCTTGTCGTACCCCAGCAGATAATTGATCAAATGATATACAAGTTGCATTCGGATCATTCTTTGTTATTTTTTTACATTCATTTTCATGATGATATTTTGAAACAAGACGAAGACAAGCAACACTTAAATCACGATTAAATACTTGAGCTGGATTATAAAAAACAGCACCCTCTGGTAAACGAATATTTGCTTTGCCTTCTTTTACTTGTACATTATCGGTCATTATTGTTGAAAGTGAATAATCTTCGTCGTTAATATCAATAGTTGATAATCTACGATTAAGAATTGATGCTCGTATCAAGAAGAAATTAACACGTATACGTGATAAATGAGATATCATATATATAAAAGAAAAAATTTCTACAGAAAAAAAGAGCAAAAAAGAGACGATGTTCGAGAAAGAAAAAAAACGACAACAATGGTTATTTTTTTTATAGAAACAAAAAAGAAAAAAACATGTTCATCATTTTCGATTTTATCGAGATTTACATATCTTGTTGGAATCCAATTTTTGCATATTTTTTTCACAATCTATGTTTATTTTTGTAATAGATAATTGATTGTGTTTTTTATTGTATTTCAATATTAAACTTTTAAAATTCATTTGATTAAATTCATCACTTTGTTTTAATATCTAATAGTATAATATTCATATTGTTAATTTGATCTCTTGACTTTGCATCATCAATAGTAAAACAAATATTACAAGTTAACTTTTGAAAAATGTTATCTATTTCAAACAGGATATATTTTCTTCTTTTTTATATTTCCATTTTTTTTTTCTAAACAATAAGAATAATAACAAGAAAAAATGGAAGATCAAACGACGGAAATTTTATTTAGCGTCGTTTTAATAATAATATCAATGTAAATATATAATTAGTTTTATTTTGTTTCTTTTTTGGTGAATACAAATCAATAGTCTTATAAATCAATAAGAAAAAAAAGAAAAGCATTATTATTGTGATGCGTTATTAGATGTAAACGGAACTTGTAAGCGGGTTATTAATTCAAATATGGATGGGTATAATGAACATTCATCTAGAACGAACGTATCTATCAATAAAATATCAACAAAATGAATAATAAGCAATATACTTTTACTGATTATTTCTTTTGATGCATTCAAAATTTTTATTATAGTTTGATATTTAACCTCATTTCCAGCAGATGGTTG